AGAAGAATTCAAGGGAGGCATTTAAAGAATGAGGGTATAGTTTGGGTATGTTCGAAGAAAATGATCAGGGTGTTGTTTTAGACCAAAACCCCTGATATGCTTAAAAGGAATCATTTGAGGAATCATTTGAGTATCTTAAGGGCATTCCGCCAGGAAAACGGCAGAGTTATAGGAGCATGACACACCATGATCAAAGGGAATAGAGAATCGTTTTGGTTGTCAGTGTAAGCAGCAATCGAAAGAGCGTCCAAAATGAGAAAGAAAAAACAAACAAAACAAACATAACAACAAACAGTAATTCTTTAGGTCAGGTCAAAGGTCAGGTCACCAGAGGTCATCAAAGGTCAAATTTTGTCGATTTCAACAATTTTGAAATACTCGACGGCTAAGTCGGGAACCAATCAAGAACCTACCGCGCCGCGTGAAAGCGCATTCGATAGCTCTGTTAACGCTCTTTCGCTGTCTCGTCCTCAGATTTGACCTCAGATCAACGGTTTAGCCTACAGAGGGCAAAAACCCTAAAAATAGCGCCTTTTCTAGAAAAATATTTTTTGTTAACAACTTTTGGTTCAGGAGAGCTACGAGAATACTTTTGCCAGCAGCGTGTTCCACTCGTCAAAACGCATCGAATGAGCCTTAATGTGAACTTGAAAGGTCATGTTAAAAATTTGATCTCATGTCAAGGTCATGACCTGACCGGAAAGAGTGATGTTGCATATCAGTCGATCCGTATCGATAAGATGAACACATCTAACGTGTTTTCACCGTTCTAGCATATCTCTGTCAAAAGCTATAGTCAAAAACTGCTGAACACCTTAACCCGCGCGGGGCTGGGAGGTAAATTTTACCCCCCCTCGCGAATTTTTGCAATATCTCAAAAACGGCGGCGCGCAGCGCCGCCAAACTTTCAGTACCTCTTCTTACATCAATTTGACACGTTCCCTGAAAATTTGAACGAAATCCGTCGGAAAATTTTTGAGAAATTGACGTTTTAGTGACGTCATGTTCGCCATTTTCGCCTCAAAAACGGCAAAAGTTCAAACGCCGCTAACATCTTCATTTTTAAAGGGATCAAGACGTAACAAAAAAGGATGTACGTAATTCTACTTTGTCTATCAAATGGCTATCTCGGTTTTTTGAAAATTTTGGATTTTTGCCCAATTTTTTTTTTCAAAAAACTGACTTTTTTGGGAAAATAGCTATAAAATCCAAAATTTTGAGTGTATCGAAAAAACCGGAATGTATGTCAGAGAAGTGGTCTATGTGCACCTACATACCAAGTTTTAGAAGAATCGGTTCAAAAATATGGGAGTTATTCAAAATTGTATGACGTCACGACACACAAAAATTTTGAAAAATGACTTTTTTGGAAGTTCTAGACCTCCTACGGAAACAAAAAATAGCACCATTCGATTCGCCGTGAAAAACTGCATCAGATAGACACCTTTTTAGGCCTTAACAACCAACTTCAAAATTTGACCTCACTTGACCTGACCTTGACCTGACCTCGACCTGAAATTCATCCAGAGGTGGTCCATATCACTTATTGAGTGTGCCTATTAAATTCTATGACTAAAATGACCCATAAAACATGTGTCGCACATGCCCTTTTCAATATTTTGTTTTTGGTGACCTGACCTGACCTGACCTGACCTTGACCTTGACCTCTGAATGATATTGTATGCAACGAATATTGTCTTGGTAGCCTAAGAACACGTTTTGGGCGATCAGTCTCAGTCCATGACTCCATTCTTCGGCAACTACGGTGCAAGGCCGATACTGTGGGAACTTGCAATTTGTACCCTTGACCTGACCTTGACCTTGACCTCAAACTTAAAATTAAGTACATGTTTTTAGTTGTTCGTGATGAGATCTTTCGATTGGCGTTTGAATTTTCCAAATCGGACCATTAGTTCGGGAGATAACAGGGGGGGGGGGGGTAAAATTTACCCCCCCCCCCCAGCCCCGCGCGTTCGGCTGGAGACCCCAGCCCCGCGCGGGTTAAATGACCTGAGATGACCTCAGGGGCACACAGAGGGGTCACAACTCAAAGGTCCAATTTTCCGATTCAGTGTCATCTTTACCTATGAACCTATGTTTGCTAGGGTTTAGAACGACATTCGTCCAAAAGAGGCGCATTTCAGTTTTCTCCCATTGACTATAATGGAGAAGTCACAAAATTGACCTGAACTTAGGTCACAGATGTAAAAAAAAAATCCGAGATGTACAGCTACTTTATACATACATACACTTATCATGCACTGAATGTTTCAAAGTGATCGCTCAGGGGGTGTAGCAACAGCGGGCCTTCGAACTTTTTCTGAGGTAAGGTCACTTGACGTGCAGACCTGGTGACCTGACCTTGAATGAACGGGGGCTGAAATTTTTCACAACATGTGTGGAAAGGATGTGGTAAGCGGGAACAGGTGTACCAAAGGGGGCGTAAAAACGCCCCCAGCACAACACGGGTCCCCCTAGACTTTTCGATATATCTTGAATTTTGACCCCCATTTTTCAAAAATAATAGCAAAAGATCCAAAAAGGTTTTCAATTTAGGTACAAAAATCCGGAATATATGTCAAAGCCCTTGCCGACTTCTATTCACATACCGAATTTTAGATCGATGCCTCTTTTTGGCCAAGTTTTAGCGAAAAAACCTGTTAAAAATTGATGACATCAAATTTCGAAGCTCAATTTTTAGCAATTATTGACCTGAACTCCACCAGGAAGTTACCTAAACCGTTCTTGATGTTCTTATATGTGGGCTACATTTTATATGTGGGCTTGATATGTGGGCCACATTTGAAGACGTCATAGGTGCGAAAAGAATGAAAAGGATGCTCATTTGGTACTGAAGTACCTATCTCAAAAAGATTCGACAAGTGAACCAGCATTCAGGCATAGATCTCTGGTTACCGGTGTACAGAGATCTATGATCCAGGTAACCAGCTAGCGCGTCGCGGAAAAACGAACATGTGCGCCGTTACAAGACGGAGCGATTGGTATCCGATTTTTCAGTCCTAGGTCAACCGGTGACATCTGAGGTCAGGTCAAGTGCCCCAAAGTACGATTCCGTTTTTGGTGAATAACTTCGCAAAAAAAACAGTCGCAGAGCCGCGATTGTGGCAGCATCGTGTTCGCCTTGCTCAGGTGCGTCGATTGATATACTTTTTGTTGGGGTGAGGTCAACTTAGGGTGTTGACCTCGGGTCACGGTCAGGTCAGCGCCCCAAGGTCACGAAATTGGTCGACGGAGATCATGTCGCATTTCATTCGATTCGGCAGGTCTTCCAGAGTCCAGTGGTGGCTATCACGACTCGCTAGCTCAATTTGATCGGAAGTTATTGATGAAAAACTAATATAACCCTAATGAGTCATAAATGACGTCACGCAAGGTCAAAATTGCAAAAGTGACGCATGGGACCTTGCAAGGAGTACATGGAATTACGATTGTGTGTGCTTGAGATAGTTGGAGATCGTTCCTGGCGCCAGAATAGCAGTTTTCATTTTTCTCCATTGACTTATAATGGTGAGGTCACGAAAATGACCTGACCACATATGACCTTTAGGAAAAATCCGAGATATACAAGTTGTGAGACTCCTAATGGATACTAGGTCTCGCCAGTTTTATTTCCCTGTGAAAGCTCCCCTGGCAGTGAGAGCGTTGCGAAATTGCGACATCTGTAGACCGTGCAGAGGTTCACTTATGACGTCATAGGTCAGTGACCTGACCTGACCCGAAAAATCGGTTGGTGTCAGAAGATTTGGCTTGAATCAAAGATCACGTATGCCAAGATTCAGCTCTCTAGCGCCAGCGTGTTTGGAGCTATCGCGAAAAAAAAATCCTATGAGGGGGCGGCACGCGTCCCCCTCGGCCGGCGAGAGTTAAACCTCTGGATGGAGCAGCATGGCCTTTACAAAAGGGCAACTTCAGATCTCACAAGATATTCCCGACGCTGTGAATGTGATTCCTCTCTCCGGAAAGGTGCATGCTCAAAGTCAAGGCCCTCGCGGCACCGGGCAAGGTCAGAGCCGACGCCCCTGTCCCGTATAAAAGGTGCAGCAGGCGCACAGCCGACACACACTCACTGGTCTATTCTCCCAGCAGACGGAGCAACAGCAACCGCAGAGATGAACGCCAAGCTTGCGGTAAGTATACCTCGGACTAGCTAAAAGTTGATACAAAATATACAAAGAGTCATAAATGTAAAAACTAAAAACAAATATACTTCCAGAAAAAGCTGTATCGACGCTATGCTCTCAATGTAAACATTGTTTAATATATATGCACTATGCGGTTTCCTACTGTACCCGATGATGTTGTTTCAATCACTAAATTGAAATGGTTTGTTTCCATTTTCAGCTGCTGATGCTGGCTGCCCTGGTGGCGTGCGTCTCTGCCTCCCACCCTGGATACGGATACGGTGGATACGGACACGGTCTGAGCCACGGATACTCCGGATACCGTTATCGCCGTTCTCTGGGCTACGGACACGCTGGATACGGCTACGCTGCCCCTAGCTACGGATACGCTCCCCGTTCTTACGGATACAGCAGCTACGGACACGGCCTGAGCCATGGCTACGCCGGACACCGTCACCGCCGTTCTCTGGGCTACGCCAGCTACGGTCACGGATACGCTGCCCGTAGCCACGGATACGGATACGCTCCCCGCAGCTACGGATACTCCAGCCACAGCTACGGCTATGCTCCTGTTAGCTATGGCTACGGCCATTAGATCCTGTTCTTTCTGTTTATGAATCGTCGCTCATTTTGATAAATTCCACAATAAACGTTTCCAGCGAAAATACAATTTTGTTGTAATCGGGCGGCGGTTAGTCAATTATTTGTAAAACATATTGCAGAAAGTACTGCGGTAGTTATCTCACACCTATGTATACTAAATTTCATTCGCAATATTTTAACTACATGTTTAAGTGTCTAGGAAGACACAGACAGCGCACAGATATAGAGGAACGTTTGTGCGCTGAGCCAGCTTACCTTTTTCCCGTCGGAATAGTCGCTTCCGCCATTGAACACGTAGAAGTATGTGTTCTGATCGTCAGGGTACATGTCCACAGTGCGTGTCACGGGCGCCACGTACTGGGCGTCGCTGAGCGCGTGCACCAGCTGGTCGCGCAGCCGGCGCGGTGGCTGCTGGCCGCGGCTCCAGTCGGTGTAGTCATGACGCACCACCGAGACCAGCTCGTTCAGGTGGTAGCTGTACGTGTTCTGCACGTAGGTGCGCAGCGTGCTGTCGCGCTGCGCCGCCGTGACGCCGTCGCTCAGCTGGGACTCGCTGAGCTGCTGGTCGGCGTCGGCCGCTGTCACCCCGGCCAGCACCCGGTACGACACCAGACGGTGCGCGTACGACGCCCGCCTGGTGAACAGCTCGTCGTTGATGACGATGCCGTCCAGAGAGGGCCCGAACGGCGGCAGGAAGCGCGGGGCGACGACGGGAGCTGCCAGCAGGGCGGACAGCGGCCGGCTGCGCAGGCACGGCAGCAGCGCCGACTGGGTGGCCGTGCAGTTGACGCCGGCGGCCAGCTGCACGGTGGCATTGAGCGGGTTACTGAGCAGTGCCCACGGCGACAGAGACGAGCCGCTCATCAGGATCACCCGGTGGAACAGCAGCCCTGCCACACACAGTTAGCCGCCGGTCAGTGGGGTATCGGCACAACATATGGTCACACGCTGTTTGGGGCTGGTGCTGACATCCAATCATGGAAACACTCATGTCGGTACCATGAGAGAGAGAGAGAGAGAGAGAGAGAGAGAGAGAGAGAGAGAGAGAGAGAGAGAGAGAGAGAGAGAGGGAGAGAGAGGGGAGGGTGAGAGGGAGAGAGAGGAAGTGAGAGCGGGAGAAAGAGAGAGAAAGAGAGATGAAGATGAGAGAGAGGGAGAAAGGGAGATGGGAGAGACAGAAGAGAGGAAGGGAGAGAGAGGAGAGAGAGAGAGTGAGAGAGAGAGAGGAGAGAAATAGAGAGAGAGAGAAAGAGAGAGAGAAAGAGAGAGAGAGAGAGAGAGAGAGAGAGAGAGAGAGAGAGACGGAGAGAAGGAGAGAGGAGAGATAAAAAGGAACAGCAAGAGGGAGAGAAAAGAAGCGGCAGCAGCAGGGCAAATACAGCACACCATTCGGCTCCGCCCGTAGACTGACCGAGTGGCGCAGAGGCGGACGTCATGAGGAAGTTGATGCAGGCGGCGCCGGCGCCGTGGCTGAAGACGGTGACGTTGGTCGGATCGCCTCCGAAGGCGGCCACCGTCAGCCGCACAAACTCCAGGGCGGCAACGATATCTAGGAGGCCGTAGTTGGCCACCGCGCGCACCGGCTCCAAGTTCGAGTTGAGAAAGCCTGCCGACGCACGCCGTTGTGGATATAATCGATACGCGCCAGAGCTCGGAGAAGGAGCGTACGGGAGGCTGCAGGAGCGGCGTACTGAGCGCTTCTGTTAAACATTCCACCGAGTTATTCACGGCAGTCGGTAGTGAACGAAAGTACCTACTCACATTCCAGCAAACGAATGTACTTAAAAATGACGCAGACTCATTTATAAGATTAGTCAACATTAACGTATCGCCACTCGGGTCATCTGCGGTCATCTGCTACCGGTTCCAGCGCTGGGTGAGATCTACCTACCGAGCACCCCGAGCCGGTAGTTGAGGGTGACCACCACCACGGCTCCGAAGCTGGCCAGTACGGAGCCGTCCAGCGCGTTACCGGAGCCGTACGAGAACGACTCGCCGTGCACGTACACCATGACTGGGTACCGGGCGCGCGCAGTCTCTCCTGAAACATACGGGGACGTCTCGGTAAGGTGTGTTAATTAGACACAAAAAGACAGGTGAAAAAAGAAAGAAAAGAAAAGAAAAGAAAAGAAAAGAAAAGAAAAGAAAAGAAAAGAAAAGAAAACCAAGTGAAAAGACGGGTCACTGTATATCTGAGGGGAGGAGGTATGTGGGAACGGGCAGGTATGGAGGGAGGGGATGATTAGGGGAGTGCAGAAAATATATGGAAACTCTGAAATGTATCAGATAGACAGTCATTACTACCATAGGCAGGTTCGGAGCGAAGTGTGACGTCAATTGATTCATATAAGATCAAGCAAGATTCTCCAAATGGGCATTGGACACTCAAATACATATAAGTCACAGCAGCAGGTGCCATTAGTCGAATTACTACCAAGTCAGTCGCCGCTGCCGAGAAGCAGCCTTGCAGCTGGCGTTCATCCATTTTTAAACCCTCATTAAGTGGCGAGTCGGTTGGTAAAGGGAATTCATTCATAAACATTGGAGCTTTTAAGCGTAGTACGAGCATGCTATCATCAAAAACTCAGTTCTCAATTATGCCCTGCAGTCAACTAAGTGATGCTATGAAACGTAGGTACCTAATTTAGTGAAACATATTTGGAAAAAATGTTGGTAGAGTTTTTGCAATAGTTTAAAAACATCGTCACAAATTTAGTTAGTACTTGCCACTTTCATCTGGTTTACAAATTTGGGGTAAACGTATCCGCTCAAAGAGGCGTTTTGTAGCGCGCAATTACACGGTACCTACACATCCTACATAGTTCCGGTGTCAGTGCATGGAGCGTCTCTGGCCTGCTGCCGTCGCCGAGGGCAGGGTGGCACGGAGCCGCCCGTTTCGCAGCACCGTACCCTCAGACACCAGCAGCGCCGTATATAAAGGAACACGCTGCAGCGTCTCGTTCCTACGGAACAGCCGCCTCTGCAGCTTTATCAAAATGCATCACCGCAGCGCTGATGAGACATTGTGAATGGATGGGCTCGCCACTGGACTTCGGCCGCCAAATTTACAATATGAGGAATTTTCAGATGAACTTCGAAGTTAGATTCGCTCTTTACTCAGCTGGAAGCTGGCCAAATCCAATTTCTCATATTGATATACTGGGCAGGATAGGGCCCGCAGAGCTCCAGGCCACGGCTAGAGTACGATATGAATGTGACGCCGTACAACCTTAGACCTCGGGGTCAGGACGATTACCTCCAGAAGACCGGATATGTTGCTAAGTGAGTAGGGGTCACTGGAGTTTGTATTGATGTGCTTGCAGCCGTGGTCAGTTTCGAGTAGAGCGATTGCTGTGGCTCGGATCAATTTTGAAGAAGTAAAAATAGCAAGCAGCTAGCGCATTTTCGAGGGACGTGAGGTACCGAAGCGTGAACTATCTAAGAAATGAAGCTGTCAGTAAAAATAAAACGTTTTCATGACTCCAACCTTATAACGCACCAAACGTTTAGAATGTAGAAACTGCTGTATTAGTCACCTGGGCAAACCAAATTCAATTAGGAAACATTTTGAATTATCTTTTTGGTGGCATTTTGAAATTCTGAAAGCTTTTACGGATGTTGTTTTTGTGAGAAAGAAGAATTTGACTCAGTGATGCGGCAGAAAAAAAGGAAGCGCTGGTAGATATTTGCGAAACCATGACCAGTAAAACGCCTTTTGGGGCGAAGAACGAGCGAGCGAGATAGTGAGACCTGCACGTGCGGAAGGGCGAGAGGGTACTTCCAACGGGCTTGTGCAAAGCACCTTTCTAACCGGCCGCTAGCGGTGTGCCAAATTTGAACACAATCGGCCCGGCCGTTCCTGAGATCTGTAAGCGGCATTCTGCACGTGCGCACGTGCAAACGAGGTCCAAACTGACTTTTGCACGGCACCCTACTAACTGGTCCCCAGCCGTGTACAAAATTTGAGCTTAATCGGCCCAGCCGTTCTCGAGATCTGGGAGCGTCCCCTGCACGTGCGCACGTGCTGTAGCACACCAACCTTAACCTTCCAGGCGGTGGGGGGGGGCATTTTTTGCCCCCCCCCCCCCTTTAGTTTTTTCGATATATCTCGAGAACCGCTGCGCCGATCGTCACCAAACTTTCAGTACCCTCCCGGGAGTAGCTAGCGCACATGGTGACCAAAAATTTTTCCAAAGGCTATGATAGGTTGGCCACTAATGATGTCAGAGTGACTTCAATTCTGCCATTTTCGACCAAAAAAAAAGGTTTCGCGGGAAGAGCTGTCAGGCCTACAGCTTTAGAGATACAGAAAAATGTTACAGACATAAAAGGCGTGGAATCAAGAGTGCTACAAAACTGCTATTTCGGTTTTTCCAATTTTTTTTGGATTTTGACCCCCAAAATCAAAAAATACATTTTTTGAATATAATAGCCGAAAAATCCAAAAAGTTTTTTGAATTTCGAAAAACCGAAATATATGTGATAGTCCCTACCGCCTTCTATCTACATACCAAATTTGAGATCGATACCTCTTTTTGGCCAAGTTATAGCGAAAAAACTGTTCAAAATTGATGACGTCAAATTTTCAAACTATTTTTAGCAATTCTAGACCTCGTAGCGCAAAACAAAGACTGCACCATTAGACTCCCCGTGACGAGCTGCATCGAATCAATACCCATTTTATGCAAAAATATTAACTTTGCAATTTGACCTTATTTGACCTGACCTTGACCTGACCTCCAACAGCAAGTGACCTTAACTGTACCTGATGGTCTAACAACCAACACCATTGAGTTGGGAATGAAAAACTGGCCATAAAACATGCATCGCACAACCATAGTAAAGTTGGGTTCATGTGGTGACCCTTGGTGACCTTTGGTGACCTGACCTGTGACCTGACCTGGTATGACCAGTGATCTCTAATAGCAACATATGTACTAGACAACTGACGCCCTATCGCTGATTTTCGACAAAATGCGTTTTACTCGGTGCTATAGCGCCTTCCCTAGAAGCCCCGTGAACGGTGAAACATTTTATCTTTGACCTGACCTGTGACGTCATCGGTGACCCTGAGGTCAATGAAATTTGGTTTCGCTCGACAAATTTGACAGGGATATCGAACGCCGTTTGAATTTTCCGGAACCGTCCAGTAGTTTCGGAGATACGGGGGGGGGGCAAAAAAATCCCCCCCCCCACCGAGCGGAAGGTGGCCGGCAGGCCCACCGCCTGCCGGGTTAACACATGCAGATGAATTATCTGATGGAGACCTAACCGTGTACCGAGTTTCAATTCAATCAGCCCAATCGTTGTGCCGTTATTTAGGTTGCAATTTTGGGGTTCTTAAAAAATGTCCAACTTTACCACGCGCCACGTGCGGTGGTTGGCAAGAACGCATGGTGGCCATCACATCACAGAACTTTTACGGCCAAGTGACATTCAGTAAAGAAGACCGCTTGTCAATCGGATGTCCCGTTCCTAAGATATTAGCTTTTGAAGAGCGTCCCCACGGCCGGCCGCTCATACTCAGGATTTTCCCTTAATTCAGTATGAACTCGCTCGCTCGCTGCGCTCGCTCGCTCGTAATCAAATTTTAATTTAAAGTTTAAGTTAAAAGTTTTCAAATTAAAACATATTCAAGAAAGTATGATCAGTAAAAATAACGTCTCTTTGTGGGCTTTTGAAGTTTTTTTCTTCTCATTTTTTTTTTGTTGCCGATGCCGGAATCAATTGTGAATGATTTGGCTCAGGCCTAACTTGCTAAATATTCCTTTTAAAAACATTGTCAAGTCACACAAGTTTTGCGCCAGTCTCAGTTTAACAAGACGTTCAATGTGCTGTGGCGACCGCAGGAAATCAGTCGTCGGAAAGGCGAGTCAAGGCTCTCACGGCATCGGGCGAGGTCAAAGCCGACGCCCCTGTCCCGTATATAAGGTGCAGCAGGCGCACAGTCGACACACACTCACTGGTCTACCCTCCCAGCAGACGGAGCAACAACCAACCGCAGAGATGAACGCCAAGCTTGCGGTGAGCTTACTGTGCAATTTGCACAGCTGCATTCACTTCCAGAGCTTTGCTACTGCGCATGCAGTAATTTCTTGGCACAGTTTACATCACTTATAAAGTTTCATCTTAAAATGCAATAGATGTATGTACTCGTAAGTATATAAATTCAACAAGCGAGAAATATCATGACTTAACCCTATTAGTGGCAGGGGGGGTTGTTTTTATCCACCCCTCAGGTTTTTCGGGAATATCTCCGAAACCTCTGAAGCTACGATGCTGAAATTTTCTGACTTTTCCTAAAACTAAATTGGGCACATTCCCTGAAAATTTCAAGTTCATAACTTTACCAGGGGCGGCTCCAGAGCACTGGGAATTGGGGGGTCCTATTCGTGAAGCGAGTCATTTGGGCGAAGATCACGATGCTGCACCAGTTTTACGAACAGTGAATGAAAGGTATCATGTGATAACATACAAAGTTATTGTGCATCCTCTTTTGACCCGTTTTTGCTATAATAGGCGGATCCAGGCGTCCAAAAAGGGGGTTATTTTTTACCTCCCAACATAGGTGCCCTGACACCGCCTATGCATGACCAATACAATTTTAGTCGTTCTCTCATAAGAAAATTGTAACATAACAAGACCACTGCCACCCTTTTTAGAAACAGTACCAACAAAAACCTTATTTACTATACTTTTTGTGTACCCCCAATCTCAATGATCTGTATCCGCCTATGATTTTTGAAAATGCATATTTTTAGGATCAATGTGAATTCCTGGTTCATTCTCTATCGATCGGCAAAAGTTGCGTTAAGATTGGTTCAGAAACCTGGCCGTGATAAACAGTCTAAAATGTATCTGCAATTTGCCCGTTTTTACCCCCCTCTACCCCCCTATTGACATTTTTTTTTCTAGAAATGTAGATCTCGTTGAGCCAAATCGAATGCCGTTTGAATTTTGAAAATCAGCCGGTTAGATCTCGAGATATCAAGGGGGGTCGTAAACAGCCCCCCCCCCCCCTGCCACTAATATGGGGTAGCC